AAAGGTACAACCGGAAACTGGGATCAGAATCACTTTTACCAAATATTTCATAGTTTAAAAGAAATAAGTACTGAAGTTGATTGTTGATTTACCATAACAGAGCAGTCTGGACTAGGAATGGACACAAAAACTCGCTGTTTTGCCGAAGGGGACGCTCATGTGTCCCGCCATTGTAGCTTCGCCGGGTAGGCTGGCCTCCGGGACATGTAAGTGGCCAGAAGCCCTAATAATTGTCTTTTTTCCCCTTCAGGGAAGTCTCGGTGCGTCGCACACATGCTTCATAGAGTATCAAAATTAATATCAAATATCTGGCTCGCACAGAATTGAAACAAAAAGATGCATATTATGATTTTAAGGGCAGCTAAAGTTGCAATATTATCAGAATTATTCGACGCATCCTGCATGAAGTATTTGATTTGGAAAGGTAGTCTGTTTATTTATAATTCATACATTATTAAATTTGATTTTTCCTCTTTGAATTTCCTAGTTTGTTTTTAGTAAGGTCAATTTTCCTATTTTAAGCATAGATGATTCGGTCACCAAGTCATTTGGATCTCAGAAAATGCTTAGCCAATTCGAAAGGTACTAGCGGTAGTTCAAAGGGCGAGTTCGAATTTTGTTTTCCTCGCGCCTCACTCCAATGGATGCGGACTATAAGTATCAGGCCGAATATGCGAAAAGCAGTCGATCAAGTTGTCGATCTTGCAAAAGCACTATTGCAAAGGACTCACTGAGAATAGGGGCCCTTGTTCAGTCCCACATATTCGATGGGAAAATGACCCTTTGGTACCACTACAGTTGCTTTTTCAAGAAAGCCAAAATCCTCCAAACAAGTGATATAAAGAACTTCGATGGACTGAAATTCGAAGATCAAGAGAAGATTCGTGCAGAGATGAAGAGTGAAAAATTTCAGCTCTCCAATTTTTGTATTAAACCTAATGGGGACAATTCAGACAGGTGTTCGATTTGCTCTAGATGTATCGAGGTACTTATAAATTCTATTTTTAAATAGCTTTCAGGATCCATTCTTCATTGATGGAAGATCAAGTGAATTGGGCACGTCTTATCATGTCGAATGCTTTAATAAAAGGCATCCCGGAACGGATTTTTCAAAGTAGTCCTTTTTTAAGGGTACTTACCTTTGTAGAATTACTGGCTTCGGTAAACTCAAAGCGCAGGATAAGTTTGATCTGCTAGATGCCGTGGCGAATGCTAAGTCGTAAGTTTATCCGTTTCAATGTAGTATCTTTTATATCGTTAAAGTTTGTCTTTCTGTGTGAACCGAATATTGCATTATATTAGGTGTCAAAGCACTGTTTAACGTCGCTGAAATCTAATAGATTTCACTTTTACCACTGAGCTTTGCTCACTTGTGCCTTCTCATTAGGCCTTCAAGTAAGCGTGGCGCTCAGGGCATCGAGAAGTCTGGAAATCTTGCTCCGTCCAGAAAATCTACCTCATCGACAGACGTGAAAGAATCTTCCAAAGATGCCTTAAAGGTGGGTTTTTTTTTCCTAAAATTCCATGTTACTGACCTAAACGCGGCTTTTTGACTTCCCGACGAAGGCAGAAATGCGAATGTCACTGGTGATGTGGCGCCAATGTTGCTTCCTTTCAGAAGCAGAGCGATAAACTGTGGCGCCTTCGGGAGCAGTTGGATGCGGAAGTGTCGACAAGCGCTCTAGCCGGTCTGCTTGAGTTCAACTCCCAGCTGGTGCCCGCAGGTCGTGCTGCCCTCCTTGATGCCGTTGCGGACGCGATGCTCTTCGGTGCGCTTCCCCGCTGTCCCCTTGATAGCGCTCCACTCATCTGTGTCGATGGCGGCTATCGCTGCTCCCGTCTCGCTAACCACTGGGCACCCTGTCTCTTCTCCGCCACTGCAACCGACGCCACCTCTCTTGCTCGCAGCCCTTTTCGTGTACCCAAGCAGTACCACGATGTCCTCTTCCTGTATGTTTTAAGCGTCTTTTTTGGCTTATTCGTTTACCACTCCAGAGTTCATACCTCATGTCGTTGTTGTTTTTGCCTGCAATGATTTTATTATTTAACAAAATTCATCTTCATTGTTTAGGTTCGTCGCTGAGTATGTTCAGTGTTATTTATCACCTCATTCCGATTGATTGCATTAAATCGCATCGCAAGTAGCTTGGTTGAGTTCAAATAGAAATGGATGGAGGACTTTTTAGTCGTGGGGTAATTATTCTTGTTCGTTTATGAACAGGAATTAAGTTCATTAGTTCTGTGGCAAAAGTGTTGGTGTCATCAGAAAAATCATTTGAGTCGTTGTGGTCATTTTTCCTCCGAGACAGACAAAGAGCCTGCAGGGCTTGCATACAGCATGAAAAGATTGGAGCCTACACTGTGGTTCTCTCCGTCTTAGAAAGACATATAAATGCAAACCGGGGGTACGTTTGTTTGCCGAGTCGTCGAGTGCTTCCGTGGAGACATTCGATAAAAAGACGCCGTTAGCAGGTTTACACTTCCTCCTCGATCGTGGACCCTTTCCTGAGGATGTGACTCAGCGCCACCTCGCCGCCACCATCAGGGCCCTTGGCGGTTCACTCCTCACTGCGGTAAGTGTTTCCTTATGACCAGGTCTCATGTTCACGCGGGTTGTTTTATCCTTTAATAGAAGGCGCATTTTATTAGTTTAGTTTGCAAGCACGGTCTATTAATCTAGGGCGGGCCATAGAGTCTAACTTTGAGCAACTTCTGGATTAGTTGGAATTTAGTCAAGCTGCTTTAAAGTATCATTTAATATCGGAAAGGAATGTGTATTAAATATGACGGTTTGACCGTGCATCAAAGATGACCCTAACTATTGTTTCCCACATCTCATCTTGTTCTGCCCTGTCGTTTGTAATTTCTTTCGGTGGAGATATCAACATCGCATTATTCCGTCGTTTTATTTTCTTTGCGCAAGGCGATTCTTGAAGACATTTGTGAACTTGACGATAGTACCGAAAAGTGTGCGATAGAGTGATCAAAGACCTACTCAATAGCAGAACAGGTTATAAGACGATTACGCTTGTAATATTCGCCTGTTCCCTTCTGACTTCTTCACCGTCTACCTTGATTTTTCTTGAATGATCTAACGTTCGTGGAGCATTAGTGCCATAAGACTACTTCTCCCTTCACTTCTAATCTTCCCTTCCCGTCATCTCATATCTCCTACCCTGAGCCTATTTTCAGGCTGAAGTTATCTCAAATGATGTATTTTTGCAACCCATTGCCACTTTTCCATGCTCACGTGCTAAACCTGTCATTGGAACGTTGGTTCAATGACGAAATTAGCTTTGCTTGAATAAAGTTCGACTACCGCAAATCTATTTTTCCGTTTGGAGAAGTGACGGAGAAATGATGTGTCACATTTTATCCAGCGGTCAGGAAGAGAATGATGACTTTATGACCCACCGAATGCAAATACTTGACGTAGCCTCACTTCGCCTGTCGTCTTCACAGGTAACACGCGAAGGCATATTCGTGACAACCTCATCATCTGTGGAAACGGAAAGCAAATTGGCGGCGCGTGCAAGAGTTGGCGGGATGCGTCCGATAACCTACAACCTGATTCTCAATAAATCCCTAGCCAAAGCTTCCTCTGCCAAAGACGTTCAGCGGTTAATCGCTGAGGAACCACTCGCCACCGTTTGGGACTTGGCTGAGTCAGCGTCAACTTCTGTGAGCGATCTGTTTCCTCGTTAACACACTTGTGTTTCTTTTCTACTCTTAGTGAAGTATTTGTAAATATCCTTACTCCAGTTCATAATGATTTCGTAATGACGGTTTCAGTGTTCGATTCTTTATTTTTAGGCCCCATTATGTGAGTATCATTTTGTTTCCGTATGCTCCATTGTTTTTTGCCGCTTGCTCGCTGTAGTTCGTCCATGTCCGCTTATCATCAAGTATAACTGCATGTGTAACTTCACAGATACCATTATTCGATCATGTTAACTAAGGAAATAACGTGCCTTTTAACTATCAATATAGCTAACCCACTCGTCACTCTGTAGGTTATACTTGGGACTTTCGGCAGTGCTCGTTAATCTCCAAGTTAAAGTTGATTCGTAAAGATTTTTCAAGCAGCATATGCTAAGGGGTAGCATTCCAACTACAGTCTTCAGAATTTCTCACAGGCTAGTGTAGCACCATTAACAAAAGTGAAATAAGGATCTGGAATGGGGGAAGTTGATTCAGTTTCCTTCATTTTCAAACTAATTCAGGCGTGAGTGGGATTATTAATTTAGCTGAACTGGGTCCTTCATGATTTCCCCCTTAATCTAATTCCCCCCCCCCCCCCCTCCCGATTTTCGCACCGGCATTAAGAGTCACTGTCCAACTTTGAAAGGTGCATGTTTATCCTTTGGCGTTATCGCTACTCTTGATAACCTCCACCTCATTCATTCGCTTACTTCGTTTTTGCAGCTCAGCAGGCCCAATCGGTGGGTCGTAAGCGGAGAGCGGCGGTCGCGACGTCGGCGGAGGGCGGCAATGATGCATTGAAGCGGATGCGTGTGAAGGGCGGTGCTGTGGTTGATCCCGCCTCTGGCCTTGAGGACCGCGCCACTGTCGCTCGTGATGCTCATGGCCGTCCGCTCTCCGCCGTCCTTGGCATGGTTGACCTTGTACGCGGCTCAAACTCGTATTACAAGTCAGTTTCCCATCACTCTCTCCCCTTATTTCCTCCTTCCCTCCCAAAAGTTTACGGAAACTTTGTTGCTTAGGTTGGTAGCATTCGTGCACCCGGTTAACTATTTTATTCAACTATATTAAGCAGATATAGGTGCAAATAACTAATGACAGGTTTCTGATCTTATCATTCATTCTCGATGTAGGAATTTGAAGGAATCCGACACCAAGACGGGTACTTATTGCAGAACGGAATACCTGTTCAACCCCGCATGTGTATGGTGGTAGTTAGTGTTGGTAGCTGTGCGGTCAATTTAATAATCCTTGTCCTTTACCTCCCCTCCACAGACGATACAATCGCTAATAGTTGAGTAATACGTAACGGTTACCTTTATGATCGTTAGAATGCAGGTGCTTCGCTCCGACAAGGAGCCGCATCATCACTGGGTTTTCCGTGCCTGGGGCCGCATAGGCACGGATATCGGCGGCTCGAAAGTGGAGCGCTTCGTCAGTCTCGACGCCGCCATGCAGCACTTCCACGACCTCTTTCTTGAGAAGACCGGCAACCCTTGGGGTACCGAGCGCGCTAATTTCATCAAAATGCCTCGACGGTTTTACCCTCTCGAACTGGAACAATTCGATCCCAAGGTAGGTAACACCATACTATTTTCACATTGCTATTTCATTGTCCTAGGTATTTCTTGATGTAATCTCAGTCTTTGGCAGTGCATGGAAATGCTGAACTGGGGAAGCTAGATGACACGGTGAATGCTGAACATAGCCACTCCAGAGCTCTATTACTTGGATCGCAACGCCTGTTGTTATTCAGTCTGTCTTTTTGTGACCATCGTCTTGCACTGTGGTCTGATGTATTGAAACCACTTGGGTGTGAAGATATTACCGTGAATGGTTTATCAAGGCGATGTGACTTGGAGTGTGCTTTTTGCAGAGTTTGATGGGAAGTCATGGGTGTTTTTTGTTTCCAGGACTCTTCGTTCTATTTAAATCTGGCAAGGCTGGGTGGTTCCCAAATCTCTCATTACTTTAATTCTCTTTCTGTGCTTCTCACCCTCCGCCTGGGTTATCCTCATATGTTTGCAACGTGATATGCACCAGAATCCCCGTTAAGTTTTACGGACACTGCGGACATTTCATTGGCCATCTTATTTGATTTCACAGGACGAGGAAAACGGTGAAAAGACGAAAATTGTGCATCGAGTGGCATCCAAGCTGGGAACTCGACTTCAGGAACTTATTCATTTCCTTTTCGACGTCGCCTCAATGACCAACGCCTTGCTGGAGTTTGAGGTCGGTCTTGATTCTCAATGTCAAGTTCTCACAAAAGCGATTAAGCGAGTCACAGTCTGTGGTCTGTTTTTCAGATTGATGTTAGGAAAATGCCACTGGGGAAGATATCACGGATGCAGATTCAGGAGGCCTATGGTGTTCTAAGCGATCTCTCTAACATACTATCTCTGGGAAAGCCTATCGAAGGGCCAGACAAGAGTCGTTTAATCGGAGCCACAGCGCGCTTTTATACGCTCATTCCGCATGACTTTGGTCTGAAGGTGCCACCCCTGTTGGACAGTTTGGAGGCAATCAAAACCAAGTCTCGAATGTTGGATGATCTATTGAAGCTGGAGGTTGCATATTCCCTTATGAAGACCGGCAACTCCGACGTCAATCCTCTTGATGAGCACTATGCGAAACTGAAGAATCGAATTGAGGTCCCTATATTGAGCCATTTCCCCCAATTTAATAGTCAATGCCTAAACAGCGACTGTTTTCTGACTATTCTGTCAGCCCCTCGATCGGGACTCGGAGGAGTTTAAACGGATTACGGAGTTCCTGCGAGTCACTCACGCTCCGACGCATTCCACTTATACTCTGGAGGTGGTGGACATTTTTTCGCTTTCGAGGGAGGGGGAGGCGGAGCGTTTCAAGGCGCTGGACAATCGCATGATGCTCTGGCACGGTTCTCGTCGCACAAACTGGGCAGGCATTCTGTGAGTCCTCCCCTCCTACTAACATCCATCGAAAGTAGCTGCGCTTTCTTATCTGTGCGTCCCTCGTCCCTCTTGGTTTGGCAGGGCACAGGGTCTACGAATAGCGCCTCCCGAGGCGCCTTCCACAGGGTATATGTTTGGCAAAGGCGTCTACTTCTCTGACATGGCGAGTAAATCCGCCAATTACTGCTATACCTCACCCAGTGCCTCACAGGGCTGCCTCCTCCTCTGTGAAGTGGCTCTCGGTAAAACGCACGACTGTTTCGCCGCCAACACCTCTCGACTCTCCAAGCAATTTGGCAGTCGCAAAGGTAACTCTATCCCTGTTTCAAGCTGCTACTTTGGTCGAGGGATTGGAAATCCTCCTTTCATTATCTCTATCACTTGACTACAACCTACGTGGTAGTTTTATTTTTTTGTCAAAATACCAATAAACATGAGTGTAGACCTTAAAATTTTTATCTTCTGTCGTTATATTTTGCTGAAAGACATTAATCTGCCAGGTATTAAGATCTTAATCAATCACCTTCCTGTTTATCATACTTTCCTTAAATTTACCCAAAATGGTGAAGACAGCCAAAACTTTCAGCGTTTAAATCCACTTTCCTGCAAAAAAAATAACTTTTTGGTTATCTCCTATCACTCGCCTTGAAACTGTTTGGTCAAAGTTAAAAGGTAATTGTTGTGTCGCATTTCTTTGGTACAAGATACTACTTTCCGTAAAATTGGTCATGCACTATGATTGTTTGATGCGTGCTGGCACCCACTTTTTGTCTGAGGAACCACTGCCAGCGGCTGGAAAGTTGCCGTAATGTGTCGTGCCTGCATGCAAGTTTGAGCTGGTGGCTTTATTGAAATAATTTGCTTTCATCAATTTGAAAGGCGTGGGCGCAACCGCACCGAAGGTGGAGACGTACTTCAAAGAGCCCGATAGCGGTGTCATCTATCCCATTGGTGAGCCAGTGACCTCCGCAGACGTAAAAAGTGACCTCCTGTACAATGAGTACATTATATACGACACCGCTCAAATCAAGCAGCGCTACCTTGTCTGGGTCAACTTTAAATTCACCTTTTAGAAATCGCGATTTTATTTCCTTATATTGGCATGATAAGTACCACTAATAATAAAATTTCCGCATTCACTCAGTGTTGTCTTCGCAAGTCATTGCTGCGCATCCTACCTTCAAAGATGTTGGGCGGGCGAATTCTCAAGTGTCAGTGCTGTAGTCCAGGTTATTCTTCCACATCCCTACCACGGCCAAGAACCGCGGTTTCTCGCAATTGCACGGATGCGATGATGAGTGTGGTTATCTAGTTTACTAGGTGATCAAAGGAAACCGTACCTGTTGTAACTTGTGGGGACTTGTAGAGTGGAGCCAAGTGACCTTGAGTGTAGATGTCACTTACCTGCCTGCTGTGTTCTGTGCTACTTGTATCTTTTAGTGGCTATTGTTTCGGTGAATAAAATGTGGTAAGAAGCTTTCCGTAGTCAGGAATTACCCGTAATACTATCGCAAACTAGTCTAAATGCGTTATATCAGTAAATATAAATGGGAAAAAGAAGATTTTGTAACTAATTTAGCGTTTTCCTCCTCCACCTCTGCCTTCATTCGTCTGGATGGGTGTTAAGAGTGTGTACAGCGGGTCGGTGGTGGGGCAGGGCAAACCCGTTCTAGTAAACAAAGACTACTTAAATTTGTTAGTAGCAGTAATAGGTGAAATTATGCTTACTACCCCGAGGCATCAATTTGGGAGCTAGTGGCGGGTTCAGTACCAAAGAGTCGAGGTGAAGCTAGATGCCTTGGCACACACCAGACCCGAACCTGATTTCAAGCAATGTAGTTTCCAGCAGCGCAAAGCCTTGACTTCTACTAATTTACCCCATTTCCTCTCAAAATATGCACTTTCCATCACCATGAAACCCAGCTCTCTACACATCTTCCTCAGTTCCTCTGCATATATCTATTTTCCATCAATTAGGTGCCTGGATCCCTAGCTCACTAACTTGCTTCCTGCTCAAAAGCGGGAAATGCAATTATCCTTCATCAGTTTTACTGCTTTAAATATAAATTATCGTTGTACAACCCATGAAATAATAATGATAACTAGTACGACTGAAGGGAAGGCGAAAGCCACACAATAACCATTACACTACTGCAGTAGTGGAGATAAACAAGTCGAGGCGATTCGAGCGTTGCCTACAAAGTAACCGTGATAACAATACATCCCCACTGAAGGCCCCATTTACGAGCAGTAAGGAGACAGCCATCCCGCCAAGAGGCTTATTTTGATGGCAGTCAATGTACACAGTTCGATGGCCTACACCGAGGGCCCTAAACATATGGCCATTTTTCTTGCACGGTCTTAGCATATTCCTTTGCTTTATCCATTGTGTAATTGCCAAATTGTTGATATTTTCTACTCCTTAAAAAACCTAGGCACTTTTGTTTGTTATACTGAACAACCACAGAGTGACTGTTCTAAATTGCCTTCGCGTCGCTCTCGTTCTCCATTTCACTCATGCCCACATTTTGACTGTGGACGCATTGTATGATTGAACAAGGCTAATTCCGTTTAAAAATTGACTGTGCTTCACGAAAATCACATCTCGAACCTGTTTTAAGCCACTCTTTGCCTGCTTCCAATGGACCATTATTCCCTAAGCATGGGTGTTTTTATAACAAATCCAACCGCCAATCTCACGTTTTGTATGACTTTGCACATAATTTAAGTGTGGAGTATTTGTAATTCATCACTTTGTATGCTTTTTGTGTTATTTCCCTTCCACATCATTTTTTCCATACTTCTAAGTGTCTCTCATTAGTATTAATTTGTCTTTATCGTTTTCTACCTATTTCTGCTTACATTCGTTTATTTACAACTAAATGTTTATCTCTATGCTGTCAGCCCTTTCACGCTATTACCTCTCTTTCTCTACTATACGCTATTGTTCATGTTTCACTTAATTTCAAGTAAAGCGATTACTCCTTATTTCCTTTTAGTTATTCTTTACTAACACAAAATGCTACCACGTTCTTTATTTGTTAGGCTGAACAACCATTTTTAAGCCACTGCTATAACCCACTGCCGTGGGGGATACTTGACTCATTTCAGTGACGCCTGCGTTGTCTAAAGAAACATTATTTGTTGGAAATAAGGACAACGACAGCAACAACATTCAATATTGTGCTCATCTTGGCAACACTCCAGTTCCGCACCTTTGCTCCTACAAGGTTGAGTCTCTATGTCTGTCTGTATAATGGATCTTTGTTTCACCCACACGGCTGTACTGTACTGCCGACCAATACTAAGTGCCAACCTCGTGCTCCATTTCATTTCCAACATTGTTGAGGTGAGAATGCCTCCTAGTTTATCACTTGTCATATCTTTTCTCTCATCCCAATGATAATGCACTCAACGCACGTGTTTTGTTATCGGGGCGGTAATGTGCTTTTACCCCTTGTACACTTTTTACTTTCCATGATTTGGTGTGGTTGAACACGTTTCACTGTACTTTAAACCTTTTTCGTCTCTTCCCCGCTACCTACCTACCTGCCTATGTTTCATCAGAAATTCCTCATAGGGCGGACTACTTCTCCAACTCTTGCTGCATAAATGGAACTGTCACCTTGTACCCTATCGTAATTTACCCTTTTCCCCTCCAGCTCTTCCGCCTTACAGAATCACTCATTATTCCTGGGGATTAACCACCAACTTTGCGTTTCAGCAACTTCACTTATTCAGCCTCTTTCCTGCAAGAACTCTCCATCCTCATCCCCTTTAAAACCACCTCAATTACCACTACCTCCGCAGTCGGCTGGCATCTCGCAGTGTCTCCTCCAGTCGTCCACCTCCGCTATCGGCCTCGCCTCCATCTCTCTACGTCGTCGTCTATTGGCCATCCGCTTCCAAACCGTGACACTGGCTCTCATTCCTCCCCCATTTGATTTGGGGCATGCATCAGGCCACATGGAGGTAGTGGTGTCACTTTTCTTCTTCACCGCCGTCAAACCATTGACTGTTCGCCTTGTCGCCACATTACTTCTATTATTCTTACTGTAAGGAATGACTTGGCATGCCATCCAATTTCTCTTCTACTTCACGTCTCAAGCAAGGCGTACATGTCTTTACTTATTCGCACCCTTTAGTCAGTTCTCCTCCTCTTCTGCCCATTCGTCATCACCTTGGTAGTAGGGCTTACTACTATCTACTATTATTGACGTCAATCCTTTCACCTTATTATTTTTTTCTTTTTCCTTTTCTGTACGCTTTCTGTTTGTAGATACACTTGTCATCCACTTGGATGATAACTTCTTCCACGAATTGTTGGAGGAGACACTTTGTTGCATCTTTCATCCAACTTTTCATCTCTGGGCTGGGCTGGACTGCATCTATTCAGCGCCTCCTCTGTCCACCTTCCACCCTCTTCTACCTCACATAGCCAGCAGAGCCGCTTATCACTATTCCATTTCGTCGTCACACTCTACGGATGGAGTTGTCTCTTGTCTTATCGTCTTGGCTCAGCGCAGTCAAGCCATCAGCTCCGTTGTCGCACCCACGTTAAAATAAGGCTCACACCACATTCCTTCTCCAGCAACACGCAACATATATCATTGTGGGCTTGGGCGCGTGTCATTCAATTTATTGTCACCTCTTCAGCCGGTTCTGCTCTTCCGCCAGTTGTGGACGAAGTACCAGCCGTCGTGCACTTGTCGAAGCGATGACCTCTACTTCTCAAGTGTGGATTACTTCATCATTATGAGGAAGAATGCCAGCGGTTGGCCATTCTAAGGCCTACACAATGACTCCTACGCCAGGATTCCTATCCACTTCATCATTGCCACTATCATAGTCGTCGTCGTCGACTTTTCTTTCATCCAAACCCAGATCTTTTTCGGCTACAGCACACGTTGCTACGCTCCTCGCGGCTGCACGAACCAGCACTTCGGTTAGTGGCATCATCCCACACTCATACCGCCGGCCGGTTGTACACACGTTGCCAGCATTACAACACTCTCTCACCTCTTTCCACAGTTCACCTCCCTCTCCCTTCTGTTGTTGGGTTATTGGAGTTGTTGGAAGGAAGTTAAGGTGATGCAGCCTTGTCTCTTTCAATGCAACAATGAGTGGCGTCAAATGCTGTGAAGTGAAAAGCTTCATTTGTAAACGCCTTGCCTTGGGGTATTTTCTTCTCAAAGGGACTATTTCCCTTTTTCTCTTGCCTTCCTATACAAGTGCTTGCCTCTTCTTCGCGCACAATGAATCGTGGGTAATGCCGTCGTCCATGGAGGAAGGGGAGGAGGAGGTACCTTGACAGCATCATACTTCCCTTAAACGCATGCATTTATCTTTACGTCTGAATGAAAAAATTGTTACTTATGATGTTGATAAACACTTTTTCCCACATTTTTCTACTTTATTGTTAGTTTTGAACAGTGATCAACGATTGTATGTACCACCAATTTCATGCATATTTATATTTGCAATTCATGTCAGTCAGGCCAATGCCGTTAGGTGGTGGTTGGGCCTTGGTCTTAGCCCTCGGCTAGAATACGAGCATAACTGGGGTACAATTGAATGCACTTTCTTCTCTCAGGTGTCTCACCAGGGCGTAAATTTACCTTGACACTTCTACCTCCGAGATCGCCCCCCTCGCTTAGTCAGTGTTGGTGTTGGCCCCGCTACCGATATCGCTGCTTTTCCATCCTTCGATCGTTGTCGCGCCTCTACGCATCGTCTGGTCTACTACTACGCCATCGATTAACAACGCGAGAGACGGTCGGTCTACCTTCCTCGGTGCATTTCTCCGTGGTTTAAATCCTGGCAATTTAGCAGTGGGGATGATGTCATTTGTCTGCTGTATGCGGATATAGTGGTGGTACTTAGCTTCTCAAACACCACTTACTCTAACGGATGAGGCAATATGACCGCTGCTGCAGCAGCGGTTTAGGTTCATTCTCGTGTTCCATGTAATCCAGGATGTGTAAGCGTACGTGTTTTAACATTTTTTTTTACTATTTGCCAATCAAGTCTAGTCTTTGTTGTTGTCAGACGATGTGTGAATGTGACTGATTTATTGTTTGAATGGTTTGAAAGTAAGTGGGTGACTGTCTGGACCATAGATTATTTGGCGGGAACGTGTGTCGGATACATCGAGGTAAGTAAGAGTAGATTCATCCCATCGGGGTGGTAAGGCCTATTGCAGCTGAACTAATTAAGTCTGCAGGAATCGGTGAATCGGTGTTGGTCGCTGGATTTGCTGTTCGTTGAGTTGTCAATTTGATTTAAAATGAATAGAGGATTTAGGCATGGATGGATGGCTGGATGGACGGGTGGTTGGGTAAACATATGAATTGATGCATGGAGTCTTTATTAATTATTGAGTGAATAGGTCGACTGATATACCATGGATGGATGGATGGATGGATGGATGGATGGATGGATGGATGGATGGATGGATGGATGGATGGATGGATGGATGGATGGATGGATGGATGGATGGATGGATGGATGGATGGATGGATGGATGGATGGATGGATGGATGGATGGATGGATGGATGGATGGATGGATGGATGGATGGATGGATGGATGGATGGATGGATGG